ATCAACTGGCACGACTCTGGCATCTAGAAGCTAGGTTTATCAACAGACAACCTGCCACCACCTTGGAACAGGTATAGCCACCACCTATACCCAGTTTTACCACTCTTTATGATTTAACAACAAGCAAACAGATGAGTCGAGGCCACCTAGTCCACCATCATTGGTGGAGTGCTTTCTGCAATTGGTAACAGTTTCGTGGAAGCCAAAGAACGGAGAGTAAAGGCCATAACGAAGTTTGGTTAAGTTAGGTAGACTGCCAAAGCAGTTACGGTACTTTCCAGTCACCTAACAAATGGTAAATGTAATGCTAGCGCGCAACAGAAAGAGTATAAGGATATCTTAAACCCGAAAAAGTGCCAAATCAACCCCCTCACGTGGGAGACGATCACTCCTCACCGTAAAGCTTGGAAGAGCACCACATGAGGTGTCAATACTTTTGCGTTAGCCCAACTGCATACCAAGGTAAACAAGCGCCAGCACTGTTAAGACGCTGCCGCCACCCCTCCCGCACTAGATGTAACCCTCCACAAATGCATTTATAAAAGGTCGAAATAAATACACGCTTGTATACACGAAGTCCTGTGGGGGGGTAAAATGCTCAGGGAACCAATCGGCTATTTGTAGCTATAGACGAAGGGTGGGGCTTATGAGCCAGATTAGCGTGGAAATACTATAGGTGGCCACGATTCATTTGTCCGCAACTGTACATATCCTCCCTCCCATGGCTGTGCATTAAGTAACGCCTAAATCTGTCCTCCTGAGACCTAATGAAGTGACTGAAAATATAAATAATATTATACAACATTTAATATTATTATTTTTTAATAAATACAATAATAAGTACAGTATTGTACCATACTGTAATGCAAATTCTACTGTACTTACAACACTTAGGGTGTTGGTGAGGCATTAGCCTTTCTGTACAATCCCTTTTAATACTGTATGCCATTTCAGTTTACATGTACAGTAGTTGAAATGTCTTTATATACTGTACAGTATTATATTCAGTACTGTACTATACTAAATTTTATTTTGTGTTTAGTAACATACCTGTACTAGAGGATGGCAACATTTGTAAATTTTTGCCTCATTCTTTAACCTCAGAAGTTTCCCAAAGATTTTTCAATAATGCAAACTTTTCTTCTGTATCTATAAACAAATTCCATACTTTTTGGATTCTGTCAATTCAAAATTTTCACAACTTGAGCTTCCATAACTTAAGGGATACCTGTATCTACAAAATACCTGTACGTACTGTATTAAATCTGGTAAATGAAGTAATGGTAACCATAACCACTGAAATGATCAAAGTACTGCAATAAAACAATAATAATAATTAGAAAATTTGGGATTATGTTTGCAAACATATTCAATTGTGTTTGCAAGTAATGTTTAAAATGGGATTTAAGAAATTAATGCCCATTAAAATCTAAAGAAATATAAAGTACAGTGCTAACCTCATGATAGTGAAGAAAATTTTTGGTCATGGCTGGTATTGAGGCCATTTGTGTATTGTCCATGGAGAATGTGAGAAAACATTGCTTCTGGCAATTATACCACATTATTTACATACTGTATTCCAGAAACACTGTATATAAGAGTAACAATACATTTTGTTCATGTACAGTAATTTAGCCATGCTCAGATAGCTAACTTCTGAAGGACATTCTTTGTAATATTCCTTCATATATAGCCATAACATCTTTAAAACTTTCTTCAGTATATTTGAGAGAAAAATAGCCTACTTGAGATCTACCATCTTTGTTTGTACTGGAGACTCAGTTAAATGATAAATACTGTATGCCATATATCCATGGCTAGAAGTCTGTTACAATCGTAGGTTTTTTGTTAATGTTTTGTGTATCTTCAGTTGTATTTGGAAGCAAATCTGATGGATGTACTCCTGTCTCTTTGCTGACACTGGGTAATTGTGTGTTAGGCATTACAGAAGAACTGGAAAGATTGGGTAAATATCTAAAGGAGGCTACAGGCATGGATGTACTTCGTGTCATTGTATGGTTGACTTCTGAGAAACATATGAGATCTGTTGGCGGACAGTCAGAAGAACAACCATAATGAACCACAGTTTTGTATGGATTTGTCTCACTCTTCTGTACTTGATATTGTACCAAGAATGATGAGTTATTACCACTTTGGTTTGACTGCGGAGTGTGATTTTTGAGATTGACAGAAATAATATCCTTTAAGCTCCCTGTACTTCGTGAAGCTGACATGACTGTTCTGTTTAAGTGAGAGACTGGATTCCAGTTTTGTAGATTTGTTAGTTGGTATGTTTCTATGGATGTACGTGGACTTTTATTGTTGTTGTTGTTTCTACTGTCACCAATAACATTGGGTGCAGCTTGTATTGTAATGGAGGGGTTTTGAGTTTGTACAGAATGTGGATCTGGAAGTTGATCAGTTCTGGAAATAGGGTCATTTTGGTCTGGTGTAGATGTCACACTCTCAGAGCAGCTGTTACTATCATTCTCAGGAATCATGATGCATGTATGAACCTCACTTGCTTGTGATGAACTAGAGGCAGGTGGAATGACTTGGCCACTATTTGATGGTGTATCTGGGGAGGAACTCACCACTTCTTGAATGCCTAGGAGTTGAAGAACTCGGGAACGATGAGCTAACACAAATGCTTCTAGAACTGCAACTGGGACATCTATAGGAAGGTCTGTCTGAGTAGAGACATTCTTGCTGCGGTGACGTGGCAGCGACGAAGAAAATCGTGTGTCCCGACAAGTAGCAAATACACTAGGTGAAGACCTGCAGAGAGGTGTTAGTCGATTTTCTTGCATGTAAATGTTAGCAACACCACCTCCACTGCCACTATTATTTCCACTTCCTCCCACACGTCCACCTTCATTACTCGCTACAGTGAAACAACTTCCTGCCTCATCACCCCCACCATCATTATCACCTCCACCTATATTGTGGCTGATCGATTGAAGGAGCTGCAGTGCTGACCGAACCTGTTGGTGAAAAAGGATGATTACAGTAGGTTGTTACATAGCTTAATTAGTGGTAGTGTGAAAATAAACTTTTATAATCTAATGCCATTTAAAAAAATAACTGATGCAGGAGCACTGGTTATGCAAAGCCTACTTGGGCCATCCTTTGGCAATTCTGCATGTGCCAAAAATAAAACAACAACCTATCATCCTATTAGTTTCTATAGTTCTTCCAAGAACCATAAGCCTTTTCACAGATAAAATCCACTACTTAAGTTGAGAGATGTTAAAAGTTCAAGGATACGGCCTTGAATGAATATTTACCCTTCCTGGTTGTTCTTAATGATGGTACCACAGGAAATTATATAACTTAAATAAATAAGAACCAAATGATCTTAGCAATGGCCTTAATACCACTCGTGTATGATCCTAGGTGCACAAGTCAGTTTCATTAAATCCTTGCTTCATCTCACCTTAATGACCAATGTTTCATTAATAAAGGATTCTCTAACTCCAAAGCTGACAAGCATATAGTACTGTACATTTTCTTTAATGCTACTAACACCAATGCCTGCACCATGAACTCCGCTGTATCTACATCAGCTTGGACAACAGATGTACAGTATAAATTCAGTACCATACTTCTACCATCCTCTCCAACGTTAATTACATATACTGCAGCAATGTAGGAAAATGAAATACCACATCATTATTAACATCATATCCTGCAATAAAATCCCATTCTAAAGCTCAAAAATATTTTATGAATTCATCAGTGAAGAAGGGGTTGCAATACAAGTATAATTAACTATCAGGATTTTGTTCCCTTGGTGGCCAGCCACTCAGGTTTCGTGCTCCCATAGCCTCCCTCATACAGTACACCTGTGCACATCAGATACCTCTACATTTTTAGTTATACCACACCTACTATTTGAGACAGAAACATGAGGTTTATACCATGAATAGTGCAAGTAAATTAATTATAAAAAGTGTAAACACTTTCGGTCATACCATGGATTTTGTTAAAATTTCATACAAAGGTACTACTTTACATGCTGATTAAGGATCTGGGATCACAATTTAAAATTCGGGTAATTAGTGTTAATTAGTGACCTTTGAAATAATTAAAGATATTTAGAATAATGTATTTAAGGCATCAATTATGCTGTGCCCATAAGTTTTAAATCAGCCAGTGGGGGGTAAGGTGAGGATACAAGTGAGTGGATAGGTGCCGAGTTCTTGCAGTTGGTTATTCAATCGGGAAAAGCATTCATCGAGTTGCTAGATGCAGCCAAAAAGTCAACCAATCTTGCCATATTTAATGTTATGTATTTCAACTCCTATTTCACCTTAATTCATAACATACGAGTATAGTACATCACCCATACTTGTACAAGCTCCCTTTTTAATCTGCACTATTTCCTCTCATAACAAGGTATGTACACGTATTCTTCATTTACCTCTTGGGTTAGGCCACTGACATCTGAATGAAGTGTGTTGACTTGGGTGTCTAGTTTTTCCAACTGAACCTTAGCTTGATCATCACATCTGAGTTCATCATTGGAACGATGGTGAAGACGAGTAGGTGATAAGGTCTTGAGGGCGCCCCTCACAGGAGTACCCCCACTACGTTCACGGCTTCTGTGGCCCCATCTAGGACTCCCTATCTCTTCCTCATTTCTGATGTGAAAATGAGTGATTATTCATCTTGTGAATACCTGTACAAGTGACTCAAGCAAAAAAAATTCATGCAAGATTAAAAAATATATGTATTGCTGTTAAAGTTTAAAAACACATAATCCAGTACTGTATAATGATGAGCAAGATGACTACATATTCTGTCATGAAATAATTCTTATGATTACTACATTTACAAAAGTTATTAACAAAAACTTTAAGAGACTTTGTTGCTTATTATGCTAATTATTTAACATGCAAGAAGTAAGATTCAGTATTTCTGATACTGTACTGTACAGTACTACTGAACTGTGATTTGATTTGCATAATTGAATATACAGTATTTATATTAAAAACGTTAGAACATTGTACAGTGATCCCTGGAGCTATGTTGTTTAGATGCTTAAAAATGGTAAAGATAGTCTGTTGACAGATCTAAGGCAACTTCTTATGGGAAGTAAGACAACTAATGCATATGCAGACTGTGTAAAGTCAACAAGGATTTTTTTTACTCATATGATCCAACAATTCTATAATTTTTTTTAATGCAAAGATAAGGAATCTCTTTCTTATGCTTTTTACTAACATACTGAAGCATCAGCATAATATATCCAGATATCATCTTGAAAAACAAGTTGGATATTTTATTATCCAACTATAAAAATAATTTAAACAACTAATGGTTGCCTGGGTGCACTGATCAGAATTCTGCCCCAACAGCTAGGGGTAAGTGCTACAAACTCTGACAAGGGTTTCAAAGTAAAAAGGCTAGCAGCGGAATTTGGGTTTTATAAAAATTATGGTCTCAATGTATGTTTTAGAGGTCTAAAATGTTAAATGTAAGAACTGCAGTTGTTCAGGGAGCACTGTACAGTACTTAAATGAACAGAAAGTTAATACAATATTTGGTGAGGAATCTTTGAAAAGAGTGAATTGTTTGTCAGATAAACAGTACTGTATACCAGTAGTTGAAAAGTAAAAGGTTTTGTGTTTAAGCTCATTGCAAATGGAGGCATTAATTATTAACTGGGTTATCTGTTGTACTGTATGTGTTATTCACGGTAGTGTGAAAGATTGTGGGTAGATGAAACGATCATGCTTCTTTATATTTGTTGATTGAATAGTTGCATCTCTCGTCTATAACTGGTATGAGTAATGTATAGTGACTGTCTCTTACTGATAAATAATGAAACTTGTTCCCTCATGTTTAAGTAGTCTGAAAGAACATACAGTACATTCCATCTATAAGCAAGATGAGCAACAGAGATTAGTTACAATAGGAACAATAATTCTGATTCTCAAACTTGGTAATAATAGATGGCATAATATGTACAGTACTCAAGTTATTTGTAGATGGAGACTTATAAGAAACTGTAATTCCACCTGCAGGTTATGAGAAATATGAACCAATCCAGTTCTGCTATATGTAAGCAAATGGTATGACAACACAAGCCACCTATTATGAAAAAGGAACTGCCTAATGTTTATAAAGAAAAAGAGATTCTAAATTGTGAATTTTGATTGCAAATTTGATAAATAAAAAGACAAATATTATATACAATACAACCTTTACTATCTGCACACACCCAACCAAGACTCATGTGGCATATAGAAATTGGCAATAATGAACTGATATAATTATTAAAGTCATTCAGCTTAAGTACAAAATACTGCATGTTGTTTATACTGGTTTATACCAATGTACAGTATCTAGTAAATATCCCAATACCAATTTAATAAGTGCAAATCCTGTCCCTTAATTGGAGGGTTTCCTTTTCCCCCCAGTGTATACATAAAATAATACAATAAAAATTTCACACATCATTCCTGATCATCAAAATGCACATCTGGTATGATAGACTTGAGTATCAGGAATCTTAAGTGCCAGGGACCAAGATGCTTTCATAAATTTTATATATCTACTCCAGGAACCCACATGCCCTAATGTACAGTGCAGTATACAGTACAGTATATAATTAATTATATTCATAAATATATATTTTGACAAAGTGTAGCCTGTGATTGGTCACTGGTGTGGGATGTGCACATGAATGCCATACAAATTACTATACAGTACTGTATATTTAGAACAAGTTAGAGAAATGCATATGTAACAAGTTTATAAAAAAAAATTGCCTTGAATTACTTAAATGTTGATATAGGGGCAGGAGTTCCCAGCCTGTTGCCCTTGGATTGCATGCATCCCCTAGACCTGTTTTGTGTGGTCCTCAGCCCTCAGAAGAAATAGATTTTCTACATGATTAGAAACTTATAGCTGTGATTTCAAAACAAAACAGATTTTGGTTAATTTTCAGTGTGAGTTTGGTGAGGATATACTCCTGCTGGGTGTTCAGCAGACTGTAGGCCAGTGTGACCTTGTTACCAAGTTAGGCGGTGGCAGTGTCTTTGGCAATAAGTTTAAGTAATATTAAATACAAGAAATTTGCAGTACAAATCACTGGGATAGCAGTTTATGGGTTGTGGAAGAAATAGGAGTATGAAAATTTTGAGGGGATAGCAAAAGAACTTTTAGGAAAAGCAAAAGTAGTTAAGGACATGTAAGTCAGGGGTAGTGCAACATAATGATGGGCTGAGGAGAAATTTTAAGGGGACTTTAAGAAGTTGCTGAGGAAAAATGATGAGATAATCAACATCAGATTTGGTGAGTACAGTACTGTACTGTAGTGGTAGAAATTGTTAGATTAGGCACAAACTTTGCTTTAGTGTGTAGTTGATTAACTCATTTCCTGGAGAAACTAAAAAATAATAAATTAAGTGACTACCTGTACTTTAGGATTGTTAAACTTGGTGACAACTGTTCTACATATTACTGAGGGAAATGAATACAGTACAGTACTAACATTATAAATGAAAAATGCATTTATTAAATTCAACAATACATTACAGTATAGTCTGCATTTACATGGTCAATTGAACCCGTGGAGGTCCGCGTAAAATGAGAAACACGTAAACGAAATAACAGAACATATGGGATTAATTGAAATAGAGACTGGGCCGACTCCCAAACTCCACTTTTTCCGACACAATATATACCTTGTAGTAAAAATAACATCATATATTTATGATGGTGTTGACACACACATAATATCTAAATAAAAAACTACACTACTGTACAAATATAAAGGTGTTTTAACACTTACGTTAGTAGAAGAGATGGGTCGGCACACGTGGATGACGGCTGGTTCCGAGGCAGAGGGCAGATTAGTGGCCCTCCGGTGAATCACTATCACTATTCATGGAGGTTGACGACTGGCATTGATGTTGTCGCGATACATCTGGACATACGGCTCCATAATTTTCGGCAGAAGGTTATTAGACACTTCACACCGATGCTTGACTGTCTTTGTCAAGGATGAGCTTGATTTTCTCCGCCAACTCGATGACTTCCTTCACATAACCATGGCTTGGTCCAGGTAGTTCAAGGTTTCTCGGGGGTGGTGGGGGTCCAGCGGAAGCCATTGTGAGGGGAATAGTGGGCACAAGAGAGAACAGTATACGCGGAGAACTGAGAACAATGAGACTGGCCCTGCTAGGTCAGCGACTTCTTCCCTCTGGTGGCAGGGCACGTCATGTTACATTAGACCAATCACAGCTAGCGGCGGAGGGAGGAATGGATGCGTGGCCCAATCACAGTCCAATACGTCATATGACGTCAGCGATAATGTAAGAGTGACCTAATGCGCACCCTCCAGGAACCGCTTCCCGCGTAAATGATGGAATGAACCGCGTAACTTAAAATTTTAATTCTGGCAAGGTGCCGCGTAAATGACCAAACGCGTAAACCAAATCCACGTAAATGCAGACTATACTGTACAACAAAAACATTCATGCTACATAAATGTAATAGCAGTTCTATAGTTACATTATGAAACACTGTATTGTACAAAAAACTGTTATCATTGTCAAAGCACATGAAGCAAAGAGCTGTACTGAAAAATATGGAATTACAGTAAATTATAAAATCTCTGAGATCCATACCCCTAAATCACTCTTGGTAGAGTAACAGTTTTTCACGATAAGCAGTGCAGACAAATGTACTGTATAAGTTCAGATATTAAACAAAGAGTTGCAAGTGGATCAGAACCAAGGATCACTTTAACCCCAAGAACATTTATGGATCTACAGTGTCAGATCTGAGACTTAAAGATGTTAACTCTAGGGTTTCAGACCAGGACAAAGTGGAGGCACTATAAGAATTAGTATACAGGGTACTCCTCAGTATTTACCAGAGAGGATGCAAATAACCTACAGTGTTAAGGACAGACAGTTCAGTGCACAATAAAGGTATCCAGATTTAAAAATAAATTTTTGATAACCCAGAGGTCATAGAGACTGGTCTTTTTTTCTTTGGGATTGGGCACAAAACAGAAGAAAAACATGAAACAGTAATTTTACCTTTAAATGGAAGTGACCTCTTCCTGCCACCAGTCACGACTCTCCTCAGTTTAAAAAAGTATTGGGATCTAGTAGAGGTATTGTGATGAGGTAATAACAGTGAAGACTAATCCTATTGTCATTCCAAAGATCTTCAACACTCAACAAGGGTATTTGAAGAACAGCCATGCATCATTTTATTCCATCAACCCCATTTGTTAGGAATGGAGTTATGCTGATTTGAACAGATAGAGGAGACAGGATGAATTGTACATCTTTAGATCTCAATAAAACTTTTAAATATTTAGAAATTCTAAAATGTGATGATAGTATGAATGGAACTGAGAGGAAGTTACTACAGTACATGTACAGAGTGTTTGGAAATGTGAAATGAAGATTAGGTTTGTGAAGATGTATTAGGTCTTTTAAAGTCATTAAAAAGTATTTGAAGAAAAAAAACTGTAAAGGGAAGCAGCAAGAGGATAAAGTAAACAACCAATTAAATGCAACAACTGTACTGTGGAAATAAAAGTCAAATCAACCATAAACAAATAAAAGCAAAGCGTATTACTAGTACTGTACCTGTATTAGTAATGATAATACAGTAATAATAACAGAGGTAATAGTTAAGATATACTTGTACAGACTTATTAGGAGACATTACATTTTCTATAGAATTTCTTAATGCTATTTCTCATTTCAGAAACAGGTGGGGGACATTAGAAAAAATAAAAGTGAACTTATAATCAAATCACAGCTCAAGGCTGAAGAAGCCACAAGTCCAGAAAATTGTGAAGGCAAACTTTTTTGGAGCGGGAATTGTAAACTCTTGGAACAATCTACCAGTGCGTGTTGTGACAACACCAGGTGCGAAATCTTTCAAGACCAGACTTGACCAACACTGGCGCAGATACAGATACATTCTAGAGCCAGAACATGCCCAGTACAGTACTTGCCAACAGTGAGTAACGGTGACGTGACCGACTGCCCAAGCAGCTACCGAGCCAATCGTTGGCAAAGAGGATAAAAGTTAAAGTAAAAAAACGATTAAATATGTATATAAAAGTGCAGTACCTTGTGAGACTCCAGGTTAAACTATTTATGAGAACTACAGATCAACCTAAAGCTAACCTAGTGCTCTTAAGCTGGTTTTTGTTCACTTTGGTTGGGTTAGTTTGGTTCATAAGTCATCTTTCATAAATGGTTTAATACCATAATCTTGCCATTGTTATTTGTAAAAAAGTAATGGCCGCTGTTCTTGGTATGGAAAATCAACACCAGATTCGAAGTAAGGTCAAGTCTGTTTTTGTTTTTTTACACACCCCACTTGTGATTACAATAAGAAATGGTGCTTAGTACTTCTGTTGAATTATTTTAGGGGGGTAATATCTCCTAATTTGTCTTTGAATATGTCCTTAACTACTAACATACAGAAAGAGTAAAATACCATTCTATAACTTTACTATACATTATAAACAGTAGCGCACCCAGAAAATCTGTAAGGGGGGGCCCTGGAGACAAGAAAAAACATTTAACAGCGGCACCACTGTGGTAAGGAAATCCGCGTGACGTCATCTCAGAGGCTTGCCTTGGCAACTTGGGCACGCGCCGGGGGGGGGCTTTAAATTAGCAACTACAAGCAAATTGAGGTTTATTTCCTTTATTTTCAGACCAAATGGTACCTATTAGGTAGAAAAAAATTCACTTTTGTCTGACCAGGGGGTGACATGTAGGATTTTAGCATCTGACCACGGACAGTTAAGGAACCGTAGGCTTGGGGGGGGCTGGGTGCGCTAGTGAGTATAAATGATTGAAGTGTGAGATGATGAGAGAGCACATCGCCGCCATGCCTGACAACATCGACTGACCGTGAGAAGTTGAACCTTGTGGTGGTGCGTGTGTGGAGTGGTGACCTTGGTGAAGTTGACACAGGAGACTTGTCCTCATCCTCACTTCCCCGCTCCTCATCATCCTCACTGATAGATGGAAGGAGGTTCTTCCCAGACCCAATTTCCATGTCCTGCTGCTGTATAAAGGATAAGAATAGGAATAAAAGTCTATTCAGAACATTTGTAAGCAATTTCTCCTTATCCTACACACATACTGTACTGTAAATTATGTACGTTACTTTTATATTTATATTTTGTCTATTTTAGAAAATTTTATCATAATACATGTAGTATCATGACTATAATGTTTGCACCCAATGCTCAACTCTCCCTGTTATCTTTCACCTCACTCTAGTTAAAGGTAAAGTACAGTACTTAAGTTATTCCATGAATGCACAGCACTACACTTGAAAGTTTGTTGTTTGTTTTCAGTACAATTAGATGTACTTCTTCGACTGTAATACACCCTGAAAATTGTATAATGGAGTTCATTCTCTATGCTCACAGATAATACTCATCATATGTTCCCAAAATGAGAGTCCGAGTTTGCTGTAACCTAACCTCAAACCCTAAACCTACCATTGAAACTCTTAAACTTTGTCTTTAATTCTGAAAATCCTCTTATCTAAGCTCTCACCCTTTCCTGTTAACTATCATTCCTTCCCTCTAGTAGCTATACTGCAACTAATGGCTCATTCTCACCTCATTATCATAACCCTCCCTCAGATTGTACGTCAGGTCATGCTTGATGTCATTGGCAAACTCCTGTTGGTATTCGAGGTACAACTTGAGAATGTCCAGCAGGCCAGGAATGTAGATAGATTTAAGATCGCAGTAGGTGAGGGCCTTGACATCACATGAAGACTTGACCACTGTGTCAGCGCCATTACGAAGGTGCATGTCTACATCACTCCCTACCAGGTCACCCTTTCCTGGGGGTGTTGACAGAACAAGTGTTTTAAATATTTTAAATGAGCAATGTTTCAATACAGCTATTTAAACAGCTTATTATACATTAAAAAAAACAGGGAAGGGAGGAAAAAGTGAAAGACAGACAGACCAATAAAGATATACAAACAAACACAAATCAGATAAAAAGAGACTTGAAACATTAAGAAGTTGCTCACCAAGTATAGCCACAACCATGTCATCCATGACAACTTCCATGGAACCATTACACAAGTAGTAGATGTATTGGAGGGCATCATTACGGTGTGCCAGGTACTCGCCAGGGGCACAGAAGATATTCCTGATGTGCAGACTGAGTAGCTTGAGGCATCCCTGGGAGGCTGTCTCAAAGATGGGTAGGGATAGGATCTCCCGGTGGATATGCATGGAGATGTCCCCACGCAGCTCCTCTGGGAACTCTTTCAGTGTCTGTCAATGCCACGGTGAGAGTACAGTTTTAGTAGTGTTACATGTTCTTGTGCATACTGTGGACACAAATTCAAGTTTAGTACTGCCAAAGATGTCAGAAGTCCGAATTCTAACTTATAAAATTAGGGCAGCTGTATCTCAGAGTCATGGTTAGATAACTGTCACTGATGAGGAAACTAAAATAGAAGGTTACATTGTACAACATTTCGACACGAACAGACATGAGGGCGATATTTGTGCTTAAATAAGAAATTATTCTGATTAGATTTACATTATGACCATCTGTAGGGCTTATGGCTGGAAATACTGTTGCCCAAAACTAAATCCATCCTAGTAGGCACACTCTTCTGCCCACCCAATGCTAGTAAGTTTATGGAACACTTTTCCAGGATATTATCATATACAGTATTAGGATCAATTGTGAAAAATAATATAGGGTGACTTTAATATTTGTTATAAACAAGAAGAAAATGGACTCTACTGTATAAGAAATATAAGCAAACCTTTGATATAAAGACCTATAAATAGTTAATTAATTCATCAATCAGTATAACAAAGTCCCCAGCCACCATACTACAGTAGATCATGTAATATGTAATAGCCAAGACAAAATCAGTCAGGTAGGGGTCATTCCTATTGGCTTTAGTGACCACTTTATCACCTACTGCAGCAGGAAAAGAGTCAGGAGTAAGATGGGACAATACAAGGTAATCACAGTAAGGTAAATGAAGAATTATAGTAAAGACATGTTCTAAAATAAACTGCTGTATAAGTAAAGGTATTGACTGGTCTCATGCACGGTGGTCAACGAGGCCTTGACGAGTTTATAACTACTTTTACTGACGTTCTTGATGACGTAGAGCAGTTAAAAGAGATAAGGATAAAAACTAACCCAGAACCTTGGATGACAAGTGAGATACTGCATTAGAATCCATCAGACACAGAGATTAATACACTCATAAGATCAAAAGAGACAGACGTGATGATGAGTCACGGGAAGATTTTTTGTAAGATAATAAACAAAATACAGACAATGCGAGTGAAATCAAAATACTTAAACAATAAGACCAAGACAAATCAAAATAACCCAAAAAGCTCCTTGGACACAGACTATTTCAATTCCTTCTATAGAACATTTGCCTCATATTTAGTCAATAAATTACTGTTAACCTCAAACAAGTATTGAACTGTGAAGATTCAGATGCTTTTAAATCCCACGAGAAGAAAGAAAGAAATCACTCCAGACAGTCTTGAACTCTACACTGTGACAGAGGACTAAGGAGTTTAAGACTGGACCCCTATAAGAGCACAGGTACTGCACTGTATTGAGGATAAAAGTAAAAAGGTAACATCCCAGCCAGGTTTTTAAAGGAGGGTGCCACTGTATTAAGAACACCAATAAGTTTGCCATAGTAACACCTATCTGTAAGAATAGCAAAATGTAATGCTTGTTATATTTATAAAAATAAACTCACTTTTATTCCTTTAGATATACTATTACTGATTGGTAACAAAGTAGTACTGTACAGTATATAAGCAAAGGACCCTACTGGAAGCAAGGATCTGACTGCGTTGTTGGCTATTCGTGGTGATATTGCCTCACTGTTTGATATTGTTGTATACCTGCACTGTCTAGGTACTGTACATAGGAAACTGTTTATTGTACAGTACCTCCACAGTCTATATATACACCAAATGCCTGTATTGTCTATATACAGTACAGGTACATGATGAAATATATGCCTGCATACTGCCTCGTCTATACTGTACTGATCTTTATGTTTATCTTTTACCCATGTTGTTAAACTTTTCAAATCTTTGTCCACTACAGTACAGTATATTAATTGCCATCCTATTGTCAAAAAATATTTGAGATTTCTTTGTTCAGTTATAATAGCTGAACATTTATTTGTATAACACAAGAAAATCTTAATGAAACAATTTAGCTAATTACTGAAGTTGACACTGAAAAGTCTACATGAAATTGTCATAGAAATACTGTTTATTCCAATAGTATTTATCTCACTATTCTACATATCAATACATCAATGTCTGCACAGTACTATACAGTAATATAAAAAATAACCAACCTATTTTGACAAAATTTCTCATTTTCTCACAATAAAGCATGGGACAAAATTCTTAAATTTTAGTGAAAATACTGAAGGACTAAGGATATGGTCACACTGATATCTTGTTTACACAAGAAAAGCTCATCATGTTTAATGTGCATTACAAATACAATATCAATTACTGTATATTCTAATGCATTTGATCTGTTTATAAAATATTTCAGCGGATCATCAGCAGTAAATATAGAGCCAATTAATCTCGGACAATGATGATGTTCCCGTTAAAACATACTGGGATTAATAGCTTACCATTGTGATTTTGGTGGCCTTGAGTCATTCCAAGGTGAGGTAATAAAAGCTGCCTAACTAGTCCTGCACTTTCATCTCAGTTATACAATCCAATAACAATGAAAAAAATGTTTCATTACTGTCTACGTAAATAAATAATTGTATTGATAACCAAGGCAAACTACCATAACCTCAACATACTCTGGAGGGATTCACAATATGGCGAGAATGATTTCTGAAGCGTAATATAATCATGCATTATATGGCATGAGGATTTACCAGCCCACACAGATTATGCAAATAAACTTCTAGGTTGTCCAAACAAAGGATGCCTACAGCATCTGTGATAATCTGCCGGTGAGTGGGTTGTGGGAGAGGACGGCAAAGTGAATGGGTTGGTGGAATGGGAAGTAGACAATTCTCTCCTCTGTGCACGACTACAGATAAATGAATATAGAGTAGCAGTATATAATGCCTTACTTTAGTAGTGTACTGTGCATCATTAACCCTTTAAGGAGTTACTGCATATCGCATTTCGATATTTTATTCAGGTTAACAATAGAAAATTTTATTCAGCTGGGAGAAACCCCTGCCACTCATTGGGTTAAAAACTTATAACAAACTTTTTCATTTACTTTTACCCTCAGTCAGTGATCAACTCATTTGCCGCTTGGGAGTTGGTCCTGTCTCTTGTTATGCTCTGTTGGCAAGTACTGGCTCCTGAATATATCTGTACCTGCACCAGTGTTGGTCTGAACTGAAACTGCACATTTCTCTCCCATGGTAGTATTTGTTGCAGGGTGGTAAGGTACAGGGGTGAAAAAGAATGAGTCTGGTACATGTTCTGCCAACATCAGGATGGGTCATACCGCCACTGCTCTGTGGGCTCTCGTGTTGAAGGGTGCTGTGACACAACATTTATCCAACATTGCTGGGTCGCCAGATGCCCTTTTTTGCCCTCGTGCAGCACAGACCTGGTGTTTCAGGGATACCGCCCATGATTTCACACAACGTGTAAATGAGGCTTTATACTTCATCATTCCCTCATAATCAACTAGACCAGAGAGTTCCTCCAACACTCTCTCCATCACCCACAGTCTTTGAATATTTTGACCGAGGACTTACCTCATGAATATCAATACCCTGGTTCAGACTCCACATAGTCTGGAAGTAGTCCTGCATCCGCTGGCGGAGTTCCTTTGGGATCTGGTTGAGGGAGAGGAAGTCCTTCAGGTCCCTCCATTTGGTCTGGTAGAGGGAGCGACGGAGGTACATTCTCTGGATGATCGATGTCACATTCCCGAACACTGTGGCGTACATGAGGGCTGACGAGGAAGGAAAGACCAAGGTTTACACAACTAGACCAAGAGTGGGGAGAGCATCTGGGATAAGAGCAGAGGAACATGGCAGAGAGGCTAAGATTTTTTAACTTGGAAATAGTCTGGAAAGTAAGGAAAACCTGGAGATTGAGAGAGAACCTGGAGACCCGAGAGAAAACCTTGAGATTAAGGGAGAACCTGCGTGGAGACTGAGAGAATCTGAATCTAGAGAGAGGACCTAGAGACAGAGAGAACGCACAGACAAAGGGCGAATGTGAAGACAGAAAGGAACCTGGAGAGCCTGGAGACAGAGAGAACATGTACAGAGAGAGAAAGAGTGAAGAGTTAAGTGGTTTATGTCAATGAATCAGCCTCATCATTAGAACAAACTGAGGCAAACTAACAAAGGCATGAACACCCAAATTCCCAAGGACGTGAACTGACCTCCTATCAACATAGTGACGATACTGAAGATCTTCTCACGGTTCGTGTTGGCGGAGACATTGCCAAAGCCGACAGAGGTGAGGGAAGAACAAGTGAAGTACAACGCCGTCACGTACTTCTCTGCAATGGTCACGTTCTTGGCGTCTGTCTCCAGCCGCTCAGCGAGGTCATAGATCCAGCCTGCAGATCCAGGAAACAAATCAGGAGTCACATTACACGTACTGTAATGTTTGATGACAAGAATTTGCTTGTTACTCAACACAAACTCAGAATCTCCTGGCTGAATGATTAAGTGCTGATCTTTGTATTTGAAATCTTGAGGTCGAGCCCAGGACAGGTCTAGGGATTTAAATACACGTCTCACTTGACCCACACAAAGGTATAAGCTTCTTCAGGAAGATAAATTGTAGGTCTCGAGTCACAATGGCACAAGAGCTCCAAGAGGCCTGATTTTCTGACCCTAAGGCCACTGAAGACCTACGAGAACAAGTAATGGTGTGGCTCCTACGGTGTGTAATAATGTATAACACTTACCTTTACCTTCTCTTATACGCAATATGGCTGAGGAGAACGAGTGGTTATGTTTTCCTGTTTGTGCAGTAAAGAGCGGGTAGTGGAGGCAGCTATAATCCCGATGCGTGTGTGTAGGGCACGTCCTCACAGAGTTCCCAGTACTGAAGGTTGACTCTCTCTGGACTGGGAGAGTCTAGTTTAGGTGTGGACTGAAAAGTCTAGACTGGAGGCACCTGAACTACAAGGGAGTAAGCTGGAAGGGTTTAAAGTGGAGGGGCTTCATCCAACACTACACACTACCACACCATCCTACACACTACCACACCATCCTACACACTACCACACCATCCAACACACTACCACACCATCCTACACACTACCACACCATCCTACACACTACCACACCATCCTACACACTACCACACCATCCTACACACTACCACACTAACCTACACATCCTACACACTATCACACCATCCTACACACTACCACACTAACCTACACATCACCACAACTCACCAATCTCAGGCTGTGGGCGCTGCATCTCGTCTTCAGCAATGGCGTACCAGACACAGGCCAGCCAGTGTGCCACGAGGGTGAAACAAAGCATGAGGAGCGTGAGGATGAGCGCCGAGTACTGGTAGTAGCGGTCCATCTTCTGCAGAAGGCGTGCCAGCCGCAACAGACGTGTCAGCTTCAGCAGGTGGATGTTCGTGGCCTGGAACGACTGGTGGCACATAACACCTCGTTAACCAGGTATTTTCTCTTAAACTGACATAATAAATATCATGTGTTTACCCTTTGTGGACGAAATAATTAAACCATCGCCCTGAAAAGGATATATTGAAGTTCCTGAAAGGGTTAATAAACCATATTCCTAAGAGAAGTTAAACCATCGTCCTTAAGAGCTACAGATGACAAATATAGCTGAACCTTCTCCTGTACACTACTGAACCTTCTCCTGTACACTACGCTGTTCAGTACTTACAGAGCTGTAGACATCGGCAGCGAGGAGAAGGTCGAAGGGCATGGCAGCCACCAGGTCAAGGACGAACCAGCCTTTTACATAATGCGTGGCGATCCTTATGGGACTCAGCACCACCTCCCCCTTCTTGTTGACGAAGGTGGTCCGGAAGTTGAGGATTATGTCTGCCAGGGGGAACAACAAGAGAATAAGACAGACATACAGACATACATTCCTCAAGATAATGTGTACAGTACTCAAGAATCACATTGGAAGTCACGTGGTGGAATATCCTGACTGTCTCCAACAATAAGCAGGTCCATAATCTCGTGTTGGAAAGTGTCAGGAAAATCACTTCTAGACCAAAATAAAACATAAACAACATCTTACTCAGCAAATCGTCTAACAGAACGACGAAATAAAACATTGTAGTAAAGATCAGTTGAATATAGTACACCTCACTCACCAATCCCCACTAAAGCTTCACTCAGCCTCACCTAACCAGTCCTTATCAGAGTTTATTTTGAAGATTTACTCAAGAATTTATATGAAACTTTTATTCACAACCAAACTCTAATAACATCCCTGGAGGTCCACGCTAGGTACAGTACAGTGTTGGGGCATCGGGAGCACCCTTCAACCCGCGGACCTTACCCTCACGTTAGCAGGAGAGCTCTCGAAGGCGTGGATGGATTAAGAGACAACACTAAGAATAGAGGAATGGTGGAGTGGGACATGGTGGAGTGGGACATGGTGGAGTGGGACATGGTGGAGTGGGACATGGTGGAGTGGGACCTGGAGGAGTGGGACATGGAGGAGTGGGACATGGTGGAGTGGGACATGGTTGAGTGGGACCTGGAGGAGACACTAAGTTGTTATAATGACGTAAAAGCCAGCGGGGTTTCTAATTGCTCCCGGGGCCCCTTAATGGCCAGCAGCTTTAGGTCGTTTCACAATAGCTCGGGCAGTCATTAAACTCGTCTGTGTGTGTGAGTGTGTGTGTGTGTGTGTTAATAATGAATACAGTTCAGTAATAATTAAAGTTTTATTGATAAAAAATAGCAGGGTGTTGAGTTGTGTTGTGGGCGGCAGGTACACGTGACAGGAAGTGTAATATATTCACCAGTGTTACAACATAAATACGAGTAACTGAATGGCACTCTTTTATTTTATTGCCCATCATAGTGCATCGTCAACGTGTGTTACTGCCATCACACTGTATTCCCTCAAAATCTGTCAAGTTAGCTACTCACAATTGTCAATCAGTTACATATTGCTGTAAATCTTTCTAAAAACCAGTTCTATTTATTCCTGGTGTATGAATGACTTTGTTGTGTTCAAGCCGCGTACTTCACCTAGCAATGGAACTCTAAAAACTCGTCATCAGTTCCAACAAGTTCCACTCATCAGTGTTGTCGTCCTCTTCTCCCCAAACTGATTTCCCAAGCGTCTTTGCGTCTCCCAGAGGTGGACGGGGCTACAGAGACACATAGTGAGGACTGACAGGAAAAACAAGTGTGAATGTGATCCTGAATAAGACCTGGAAGCTTGTGGCAGTCATCAGTCACTACCTCACCTAGTTACCAACAATGCCTGTCAGTCCCCGGCCAGGCTCCATTCAGTACACAATAAACCTTTACTGCCAACATAACATCATTTGTATCTGTCATGGCTGTCAACGCCTCAGCGCCTTATACTGGTATCCTTTTTAACAAAATCTCTATAATCTTTGAATTTACACCATCTTGTTTGTCATAAATTATAGGTGTTTAAAGAGGGAGTTATACCAGGTGCTGTGCGTCCACTCAGAGGCTCAGTGTAGAGAGATAATTAAAGCGGGGGAAACTTGTTGCTATATCACGAAGGGTTGGGCGGGAGGTGCGTCGGAGTGTGTGATGGAGAGATACATCAGGAACAAGGAGGGACGGAGAGGAACTGTGACGGTCTCCTGTCACTCTCACGTTCCCTCTAGTGACTGTTGACTACTGAATCTTTGCTAGTGAAGTTTTGATCCACTTCAAGCTTGTATGAGAGCAACATTACGGGTGAAACAAATAAAAAACAATTGTTCAACTAAATGCCGACTTACCAGGTAACACGTACAGGGTTGACTTGTAGCTTACCCAAACACACAAGACTGAGGATACGATGATATATAAACCAAAACATTCACCAGACACTCTTGGGGGGCACACTACCGAATCATCAAGTAACGTCACTGACCGACAAGGAAGAGCGCCTCCACCACTACGTCGGGGACGATGGTAGGCTTGTCTTGCTGGTTGGTGTTAACGAGGAAGGCGGCGTTGTAGGGGACGGTGACGGCAACGTAGAAGGTGGCTAGGAGGATGACCAGGTCCCAGCAGGTCTTGAGCATCCCGTAGTGGGTTAGGATGAAGCGGGACTTCTGGATGCTGGCCGTCTTGTACTCCGGCAGCGGCGCCGCCGAGTGTGGCTGGAGGGGATTCTGAGGGCGACACACATGCAAGTACAGTCACAAGAATGAAAACAAACTCGTGGCACTTATCTGGCCAGTGCCATCCATCTATCGTGTATCAGTGCACATACAGCCTCAACCTATATCACCCAAGAGACGAGAATGAATCACCTCGTATATATTGCCAGAACAAACATTAAACTTACCTTTACAATAGTTAGAGAACGCTTTTATTCCCCCCTCCCCCCCAAAAAACCCCCCCCGGCAAAACACAGAATCATGGAGGTGAAAAACAATATTTCCGACCACCCCTTCCCCCTTAACTACACGAAAACTACATTTACCTGCACGTATCCAAGAATTCTCGCCTTACTATAAAAAATATGCTGCAGCACGTATTGAAAATCACCAGAGAAGTTGGCCCAAAGCTCAGAAATCCACCCTGATCCTTGCCAGTAAGTAGGACCCCGCCACCACCACTCTCCCCGTCTAACTTGTGGACTAAAATATTCCGAGATGCAGTTTTTCTCTTACTAAAGTTGTCATGGTACCCTAAGTCACGCTTCCTTAATAATAAAACAACATTCAAAACACGGACATAAATACCGCAAACAAGTCTCGAAGTGTTAGTGTGTTATTATGTTCAAGTTTGTAGAGAACATTGACCGGGAGATTATTGTTAGGTTACGTTAGGTGTGTGTGTGTGTGTGTGTGTGAGCCCAGGTGGTCCACACAGCAGCAGCAGGCGGCGGCAGGGACACTAAGGCCGTACCCAGCGCAGCGGGAGAGCATCACCTTTAACTAGCGCCTGCGAGAGCGGTCCTGCCCTCACCTCCAACACCAACTCCTAAGACAACTGTTTCCGGCCCCCAATACTGCCTCACCACACCTTCATTATCATTTTTACTCACTATGAAGGAGAGAAAACTAAAATGAACTCCCTCCCTGTTTCTCCACCATCACCTTTACTCCTCTCACACCACCAAGTCTCCACCACAATGCCTCCTTTCCACCACCACATCAACCCCTCGTCTCCTCCACCACACCACCACCTCTCCTCTCCTCCACCAAAGAAAGAAAGAGAGAGAGAGAGAGATTTAGACAGGTGAGACAAACAGAGAACGTTAGCACCTGCCAAACTCTACTCTCACCTGTACAAGACTTCAGCCACTTGGGGATATTGAAATGACTTGCCCGAGTTATATGAACTGTAATCAAATTGGCTCACAGAAAGTTAATTAAAATATAAATACCGTCGATCCTGTCTGATTGAGTTCTTAAGAAGGATTAGGGATTTACCAGATTGGATTCTCAAGAGGGATTAGGGAGTTGATAGAAGGCACTGCATTTCATTACGTCTTCTGATGATCTCGAAGCGTATACGCATATGTTAGTGTCTAGTGTAAGCCATTAGAATATTTATTAGCGTTGAAAATATCCTTTATATCTGCCCCAATCATCCCCACTCCCCTCTCTATCTCCCCAACCATCCCCACTCCCTTCTCTATCTCCCCAACCATCCCCACTCCCTTCTCTATCTCCCCAACCATCCCCACTCCCTTCTCTATCTCCCCAACCATCCCCACTCCCTTCTCTATCTCCCCAACCATCCCCACTCCCTTCTCTATCTCCCCAACCATCCCCACTCCCCTCTATCTCCCCAACCATCCCCACCTCCCCATGACACACTGTAGTTGGGGAATCACTTGACTACACTGTAATCCACACAATACCCGACAGTGATTACCCCTCAAGTGGCTTTATGGTGCTAGTGGGTCAATTTACACACCTGAGATGATTAATTCACACACCTGAGATGGTTAATTCACACACCTGAGATGGTTAATTCACACACCTGAGATGATTACTTCACACACCTGAGATGGTTAATTCACACACCTGAGATGGCTAATTCACACACCTGAGATGGCTAATTCACACACCTGAGATGGCTAATTTACATACCTATCTATCTGTCTGTCTGTCTTTGTCTCTGTCCGTCCACCCAGCACAAAAAAAATTCCCTATCATCCACTAAGCTTCCATCCCCTATCATCCACTAAGCTTCCATCACGCCAATCACAACTAATTATTCCTGCCACAGCCCGGAGCATCAAGCCGAGAAGACCCCGATACCAAGTTATGATCCCTCAGTCATTAATTACACCTGTATACTCAACCTGTCTCATTACCTGTGTTGAAGGAATGGAATAACATGTGTTTCTGGGTAGATATACGGATAGACAGATAGAGTGGTAGACGTATGGATAGTTTACATAAATAGATAGATAGATAGATAGATAGATAGATAGATAGATAGATAGATAGATAGATAGATAGTTCCCTGTATATGACTGGAATAGAGGGGAATTATAGATCCAGATTTAAGAATATACAAGCGAGTTACTAATGGGTAGTTAATGCCACTGTTTGGGTAATTACAGCCATTAACACAAGGGGGTGGAGAGTCGTATACCTTATTGATCTTACTGCATGATACTGAACTCACTTATGTAATTCCCTTTAGTAATTATGACCTGTGTGTGTGTGATGGAGAGGTCCTATTAACAGCCATTCCTTGTAATATGGTGTACAGCTGTTGGCCAATTTCCCTCAACACTTTCGGTAATGCATCACGTCTACTTGAGGGTCGTGTGAGGAGGAGTGAGATTTTAGGATTAATTTACTCAGAGAAGGGAGGGGGGAGGAGGAGGAGGAGGAGGAGGAGGAGGAGTAAACACCGACCACACTACATCTCCATACTCCCTGTCGCGCCGGGTGAGAAAATGAAGATTTCCACCTGAGGGGAGTAGATTGTCTCAACCTGGGCCACGAGGAGGAAGAGAAGACGGGGAAGAAGAGAAGGAGGCGGACCAAGGAACACGACGCCTCCATTTCAGAAACAAACTCCAAGCTTCAGGGCATTCACAACCAAGATTAATTTAGAAGTCTTAACGCCTCCACAGAAGCTTAATCTGGACGACTAAAGAGCCCCCAAACCAAGCTTAATTTAAACAACTTAAATCCCCACAACCAAAACTTAATTCAGACGACCTAGCTCCCCACATGCAACCCTATTAAAGGAAGATTTACAGCTTAATAATATCTACAAGTGTGTCTCCTCAACAGTCGATCCATTAGCTGCAGCAGCTCTGGGTGGCTAGAAAACGGTGCAGTACAAAGCTATGATCAGCCAACAGCGCTTTAATCTCTAATGCTGGCTGAGTACAGAGCGATACAAAGGTATTATGGTAAGCCTGTCACTTGGATACGAAATGAAACAATATAGGTGGGTGGGTGGGTGGGTTGGCATATGTGTGTGTGTGTGTGTGTGTGTGTGTGTGTGTGTGTGTGTGTGTGAGTGTGTGTGTGTGTGTGTTAAGCCTGTGTGATAGCTCTCCCTTAACATTTCGTGATGGTAGGGCCTAAACACACACGTAAGCGGATCTAAGCATAGTCAATCCCTACGTTCTGACAGTATACAGAATACCTATTTGTATACTTTATCGGTACAGTATACGAAGATAGGGTTGTATACGATATATAATACGAATCTGTCAACAATATATATATAAAGAAAACGTTATATTGTACAGGCGTCTAGTTTGCAACCCTGTAAATCAACAATATATCTCCATGCAGTGTTACAATCAAGAGCAAGCAGGCAAGCAATTCAACACATATCAAAGCATCATTTAATTATATTGTAAGAGAACTGCCGGGAGACCTGTGCATGGTGTTGTAGGTGATGTGAGAAGACGTGATTGGGAGACGTTTACCAGTGTGTGTCGCTCCCAACACAACTTCCTGAATGCAATTAAACTCTCGCTTGATTATATGCATGAGGGACTTTTCTGATCTAGGGTTGTCAAGGTAATCACAATCTCTCACATGCACACAATTGAAAAATATCAGTGTTTGTATATAAATGAGTTTTTTTTTTAATACACGGAGAGTTAGGAGTCAGTTGATGTAAATTCAGGCTTATGTTAGAGACATCAATTATGTAACCCCAATTATATTTATGCATGCTTCTGTTTTCTCTACTGGTGTGGGTGACACTTTATTTACATGATAAAAAGCGAAAACCTCTCGCCCACTAGTAAGTTCAGTTCGTTTTTTCTTTTCTGTAAACTCTTTCATAAAAGCTGATTTTTATAAACCAGACTGGTAACATTGTGGTGGCTTCGTTTAAATATAGTCTCAGCCATTACCGACATGACGAGCTCGTTAATATGGTTCTCGCTTATTTATTTTATTTTATTTATTTATTTATTTTTCGTTAGTTGTGAAAGATAAACAGGATGTCAATAAATGGAGAAAAGATGACTGTGTGTGTGTCAGGTCAAACTGTTAATCGTTTTTGGCATTGAGAAAAAGTGATCGCTGCTGTCTTGGCATCTGTTTCCATGACTAATTTTTGTATGGCGACCATTGGGGTTTTACTTGCCAAGAGGACTGTTGCAATGACGTTTGTTGCCATAATTATTGCCAAAGCGACTTACCACGACTACTGCTACAATGAGGAATGTTGCTACGGCATTTACTAAGGGCATAGAGTCTGCTAGAATTTCTGAAGATATTTATACTCCCCTACGAGTTAATTCTGGTTATTACACACACGAAACATACATTTCTGTCGTCAAATACAGAGTTTAACATCCACACCTAGAATTTGATATCCACCAGTTGCCGCTACACCAATCACTATCCCCAGTTCCCGCCAAAACACACAAAATAAACAAACTTCGAATTCTCTGTAAACATTCCCGGTAGACGTTACTACATATGAGTAAATGTTATATTTCAACATTTACCTTCAATACTAATAAGACTCCCCCATTAACTACTGCTATTTTACCGTGAATTTTTACACAGATAAGAACTCAAGTCTTCCGCGCCATCCTTATCTGACATAGTTAGGTGTAAACAAAAAATTATCACGAAAAAAATCACAAAGAGAAATACTATCTAGGTATTTTTTTATGTATATATATATATATATTAATTGGGTCAGAAATACATACACACACGCGCGCACACATTTTCCGATGGTGATGTGATGGTGTTATGGTAATGTTATTAACGCCAACTATAACTACCACCACCAACCACAACTATTACCACTAACCACCAACCACAACTACCACCATCATCTACAGCTATTACCACTATCAACCAAAACTACCACCAACATCAACCACCACCAACCAACCACAACCATCAACCAAAACCACAACAACAACCACAACTACCACAACCAGCACCACCATCAACCAAAGCTACCTCAACAACCAAAACCACCACCATCAACCACCACTATCAACCACAACAACCACCACTATCAACCACAACTACTCACATTATTGAGCTTGAGTTTGTTCTTCGTCTTGTCCTGGGTGTAGTGTCCGGACAGTTGGTAGAGGACGGCGCGGCTACGTCTTCGACCATACTTGTTCGGGGGAGCTTCCGGGTCCAGATTCTCGTTCTCGTCTGGAAAATGTTGTTATCAGAAGGTCAGTAAGGGAGGTGAGGTGAGGTTAAAGGGATGAAGAGATAATAGGAGACATGTAAAGTTACTGACAAAGAGACACTAGGAGACTGACTAGAGACTGTAGGAGATTGACTAGAGACTGAAGGAGACTGACTAGAGACTGTAGGAGAATGACTACAGACTGTAGGAGACTGACTAGAGGCTGTAGGAGAATGACTACAGACTGTAGGAGACTGACTAGAGGCTGTAGGAGACATAAGATACTATAGGAGACATAACAAGAGACAACGAGACTAGGAGACACACAACAAGAGACTGACCGTTCTCGTAGCCGGGGTAGAACGAGACCTCCTCCATCTTTGAGTTGGTGACGTCCTTGTGGGAGGCGAGGAAGAGCACCACCTCCCGCTTCTCGTTCTTGATGGGCACGATGTCCAGCAGACACCAGAAGGACGACCCTGTGTGTGGGGGAGAGAAAGGAACACCTGGGGTTAGTCTATTGCTGGGGTGGAGAGTAGAAGGGGTTGTGGGGAGTGTGGGGCGGAGAGAGTGTAGGAGGGGTAGGAGGGGTTGTGGGAGTGTGGGGGTGGAGGGAGTGGAGATATGGTTGGAGTATTGCAGGCGTTGGTGGTGGGGGAGAGTGGGGGGTGGGGAGGGGAGGTCCTTGTACAGGTATTCTTCAAAAAGACAATTTAAATTCCCTAAATATCAAGTGACTGACTGACTGACACACACGCGCGCACGCGCAAGCAAGCACGCAACAGGTGGAGGAGGTGAAGCAGGCAACAGGTGGAGGTGTGGCAGGCAAGAGGTGGTGGAGGACAAGGTGAGGCAGGCAACAGGTGGAGGTGTGGCAGGCAACAGGTGAAGTAGGTGGTGAGGCAGGCAACAGGTGGTGGAGGGGATGAAGCAGGCAACAGGTGGTGGAGGAGGAGGTGAGGCAGGCAACGGGTGGTGGAGGAGGAGGTGAGGCAGGCAACGGGTGGTGGAGGAGGAGGTGAGGCAGGCAACGGGTGGTGGAGGAGGAGGTGAGGCAGGCAACGGGTGGTGGAGGAGGAGGTGAGGCAAGCAACAGGTGGCTGAGAGTGGAACTTGGAGGAGGTGGTGTGGCAGTTGTCTGTAATGGCCGGACTTGCCTTCCCTCGGGTATTGGATTATGGTAATGTTGTTTCCTCTCAAAGACGCTTAGGAGGATGTTGTGTGTTGGAGGAGGAGGATGTTGAAGAAGGGAGTGTGTTGGAGGAGGGTGTGTGCTGGAGGATGTTGTCTGTTGGAGGAGGAAGAAGTTGCGTGATGTATGATAATTATTCTATCGTCACAAAGGCCAACTCTTGTCTTATACTCCCAGTGCCATCGTTGGTATTGCCTTAAAACCTGAAGGAAAAACGAGAGAGATTTCAGTGAAAAACGAATAAAAAAAACACATACTTAACCCTTACTCTCTCGTGCTGTGTGACGTCAACAGGTGAGAGTTGGCGCTTAAATCACTAAAATATACAGGTAATGTTTTCCCCTTAGACAGCTTAGTACGGTGTAATTTTCTATGGAGGTGTAAGGGTGTAATAAAACATTGAAATAATAGGGTATTATCGTGTGCTTGTTCCCGTAATGGCTGGAGGGTGTATGGGAAGAATAGGTGGGTGGGAGGTAGGTGGGTTGGAGAGGAGAGACAGGTGGTGTAGGTGGTTGGATGGGAGACGACAGGTGGTGTAGGTGAGTGGTGTAGGTGGGTCTCGCTCGGCCATTGTCGTCGTGAGCGGAACCGACCTCTTCAGGGGAGGTAATTTACAGGTAATATTGCTAATTAGACGTCTCAAATGGGGGGCGCTCCACAAGCAATCTACTTTACCTATGTTGTTAAGTGCGCCTGCTCCTCCTAGCCAGTTCGGGAGTCCTAACAACAAGGGGGACCTGGGATAGGTTAAGCTAGGATCTGTAAAGTTAGGTGAACCATCTCCAGGGGCCCCATTTGCCGTTTTCTATATCCAAGGGTCCCACATAACGTTTTCTATATCCTGGGGCCCTATTTCCCGGGGTTTTTTTTTACAATCTGTTTCTCAGTTTCTGTTCACCTTTGCTGCTGTCTGTCTCTCATCAGTCCTGGGATAAAGACTAAAGCAATATAGAAGACACTCGCTACGTTAACTCCTCCAACATCTGCTTGTGAAGTATGTTTTTGTTCTGAAGAGGAGGGGGGAGAAGAGGAGGGGAGAAGGAAGGGGGAGGGGAAAAGGGAGGGTGGATAGAAGGAGGGGAGAAGGGAGGGTGGAGGGAGGAAGGGTGGAGGGGGAAGGGGGGATGGTAGAGGAGGGGGAGAAGGAATTGGAGGAAAGAGGAGGAGGAAGAAGACCTACTCACCATTCTTCTTGTAGAACATGACTTCGACCTTGAGCTCCGTCTTACTCTCCAGGGACTTCTCGATGGCCGCCTTGTGTTCGTCGATGGTCTCCGGGCCGTACAGGAACTTGCAGGCGCACCCCTTCTGCATGATCTGGGCCCGCGCGTACCCCGTGAGCTCACAGAACCCATCACTGCAGTACACGATGGGGTACAGAGCGGGCACCTGTGCGTTCCCCAGCACGAAGTTGCTATCTGTGGGGAGACGAGATAAAATATACATTATAAAGTGAACATAAAGGAAAGGCTTCAATAAGTTACGAGATATTAACGTCACGTGGATAAAATATCGTAAAAACCAGAGCAAATATAAAAGTTGAGGCATCAGCAGCTTATGGACAAAAACCCTCTGTAATCTTTAATACAAAAAAACACAATATTTGTCTATACTGCACACTCAAAACATTACAGCAACAGTTAAAGCATCACACTGTACACATAAAACAGAAATGTTGGTTGAGAAAGTTAATTTATCGAGAATCTGTATTGAGCGTTTAGTCAGACACCACTGGAGGGAACACCTTCTGTATGACCGCTACCAGAACCTTGTGTGTGTGTGATGGTACAGTAAGTCTCACAGCCGATACTGACCGCCTTACTCACGTGGTTCTGGCTGGTTGAGTAAACAATATACCCACCTGACTCATCAAATCACCGACCTACCAACAGTACTACCACCACTACGATCACCATCACTACTAACACCACCACCACTACTACCATAATATCAGTGAGAACATCTAACCACCACTCCCACTACGACCAACCACCACAACAGTAGGCCCGACACACTCATACACCCCATAACTCCAACTATACACCCGTGACAGCTAATACATCACTTCGTCTGTACAATTCCCCAAACGTCGTCACCAGAAAGATTGAAAATATTTTACATTTCAAGTTACGCCCATTTTTCCCTCCCATGTGAAGTGAAATAAATATACACAGTTGGACTCAAAATGTTATCTCAATGTTAGGTTATCTGTTGTTTACTTTCCTCTATATAATCTATAATAATAAGTATGTGTGTGTGTGTGTGTGTGTTACATCTTCCCCGACCATGTCAACACTTAGCGAGATTTTGTGAAGGCTTCCTCTGTCGTTCCATCAATATCGCCCGGTCACTAGGCTCCCCCAAGGTATTTTATGAACCCAATACAACAAACTACGTAATATGACCTTCCTCTATCGGAAAACAACTACATAACATCACCTGACATAACATTCATCTAAGTTAAGCAAAGGATCTAGCACCTGTGTCAAAACCTCGCTTCCAGAGGCACGATATACTGTAGAGTACACATGTCACTCAAAATGCCTCCACTACCCCCCCCCCCCTAAGATCTGTTGACCTCTCTATACTGGTTAAGTCTCTGCTAATTTATTTGACCGACTGTAACACACGACACGATGACAGACAAAACACTGATGGACCCAAAAGTTCATGAGATTACAGCGTTGTTGCCCTATCGACGGATCTGCAACTATTCATAACTGTAAAAACACACAAAAGACATTCCAACCTTCATCTCAGAACACACAAGTCGTCCAGGAACTGCTTCGGAAAGTCTAAACACAACACAAAATCACGTGCACAGTAAACTTAACCTACACATACACTCCTCTGACTAACACTGAGGTGGGAGTGGGTGGTGGTGGTGTTTGCCTAACATATCGTACGGCACTCGCTAAACTGTATTAAAATAATATGATTTAAGCAATACCAAACGTATAAGTACGTGCGTGTCATAGGAATGCATGTCCATCATCTAAGCAGAACTGACTTCCACTGAGGCTGACTGCGGAGCAACGCCAACCGACGGCTGTCCGCCGCTGACCGAATGAGTCGTACGTCTGGCACTTCATTTTTACCCAAGGCTTCACTTTTAACTGCTTCAGAGGCACTAACTACCAGAGCGATAGTTTGGTGGTTAATTTAAAATCCAAATGTATGGGAGTTCTACAAACCTCAAAAAACGAGCTGGAGAACACGGCGAAAATGAGGTGGAGGTTGGAGATCTCCGTTAGACGGAAAGCTGGAGGAAAAATGCACCTAACCTAACCTTCCTAGTTTCCATAATCTCTTACTAGCCTGTCATTACGGTCTCCTACGCTCCAATGAGAACATGGTTTCCTAACCACCCTAATCCGTGGCATTCTGATAATACGGCCTCCTAGCCACCCTGATCTCCTTCCTATGCACCTATGATAACAAGGTCTCCTACGCTCCACTGATAACCCAATAGGTCTGAGATCGCCCTTGTTAGTGGGCGCCCTGGGATTACCTTACACAGGGCAAGGCTTAGAAGGGCTCCTCTCTCTGCTGGGAATAGAGGAGGCTGAGAGGATGGAGGAGGCTGGGGAGGGATGGAGGAGGCTGAGGAGGGATGTAGGAGTTTGATGGAGGGATGGAGGAGGCTAGGAAGGGACGGATGAGGCTGGGGAGGGATGGAGGAGGCTGGGATATGGATAGAGGGGGTGGAGAGGAATGAAGGAGGCTGGGAGAGGGGTGGATGGGGCTGGGGAGGGATGTGAGAGGATGGAGGGGGATGAGGGATGCAATACGTTAGGGAGTGGGGCGGCGAGGCAGTGAGGGGTGAAACAGGCTGAGGTCGAAAGTAGATTAGAGTGGAAATTGACTGGAGACTGACAAGGCTAAAGACTGGGTGAGGTAGGGGTGGAACAGGTCAGGGATGGAACAGATGAGATAGGGAACAAACTAGTGGTGGAGCAGGCCAGGGGTGGAACAGACTAGGGGTGAGGCAGGCCAGGGGTGGAACAGGCAAGAGGTGAAACAGGCAAGGGGTGGAACAGGCAAAGGGGTGGAGCAGACTAAGCAAGGAACAGACGAGGAATGGAAAACAGACATATAAACAGCGAAAACAAATAATAACGAAACAGTACGAAAGGAAAAGATGGTAATAAAAATGACCGATAAATTAATTGATAATTATAAAAACAGACGAGAGAGAGAGAGAGAGAGAGAGAGAGAGAGAGAGATTCCCCCCTTGCAGTTTCTCCCTGCCTGAAGCGGCGCTGACCCACAATACTCAGGATTCTTGTTCAAATTCCACTCCCTAAACACGCTAAGAATTGATGCCGGTCTGACCCCCGTTAAACAAGATCGCTGGGGGTATGAGAGAGAGAGGGGGATACACAGGTGTCTAATGGCCAGGAAAGGTGTGAAGAGGATGGCTTTCAACTCTAATCCTTCCCCCTCTCCCTCTCTCCCTCACGCCTCTCCTTACCTCCCTCTCTCCCTCACGTCTCTCCATTCCCATTCTACTCCCCACCTCCTTCCCTTCCTTCCACTCCTCCTACTCCCCTTCTTCATTTCCTTTCATTCCCGTCCATCTACCATTAACCTTCCCTTCTTCCTTTTCTCTTACCTCCTCATTCCATCTTCATCCTTCCCCCTCCTCTTCCATTCAACTCCTTCCTTTCTGACCCTCCTCCCCTTCCCTCTCATCCCTCACCTCTTCCTTCCTCCCTACTCCTGTTCTTTCTCCATCACCTCCTCTTCCTCCTCATCCCTACTCCCTCTCATACCTCTCCCACTACCTCCCTTCCATTATTCTTCCCCTCAGATCTGCATTCCCACCCCCTTCCCTCACCCTCCACCTGCCCATCCCTCCTCTCTTCCTCCTCCCCTCACCCTCACCACTCTCTCCTCCTTTCCCCACCTCTTTCCCTCATCTCCCCATCCCCAACTCACCCCCTCTTCCTCCTCTTTCCCTCATCTCCCCATCCACCTCCTCCCTATCCCTTTATTCCCCTTCCCTTGCACCAGCCTTCCCCCCAGATTACGTTTCCCCTCACTGCAGCGAGGATCAAAGTGAACACAGTAATTACACCTTGCCACTTTCATGCTTTACTCCAAACTTTATTCTCCGGCTAACTTTTTTCGCCTTCTTTATTTTGCCCTGAATGACACCCACTGAAGTGAAAAAAAATATGCTGGAATAAATTGGAGAATAAATCACTGGAATAAGTCGGAGAATAAATCACTGGAATTAATCGGAGAATAAATTGCTAGAATAAACCGAGGCAGACAAGTGCCAGAGCCGGAAAGACGCTGCCGCCGTTCCTCCCACACTAGATGTAGCCCTCCACACGTGCAACATCTGTGGACGGCCCTGCTGGTCCTGTATCGGCCTCTGGAGTCACCTCAGAGCTCACCAACGAAGGTGACGTCACTAATAACTCATATCATTGTATCATAGCTGGATGTTCGCCATACGAGACTCTGAGTGACAGCACAGTAGTAGTAGTAGTAGTAGTAGTAGTAGTAGTAGTAGTAGTAGTAGTAGTAGTAGTAGTAGTAGTAGTAGTAGTAGTAGTCTGTGTGTGTGTGTGTGTGTGTGTGTGTGTGTGTGTGTGTGTGTGTGTGTGTGTGTGTGTGTGTGTGTGTGTGTGTGTGTGTGTGTGTGTGTGTGTGTTTCAATAACTTTACCGTAAACCAATGAACTAAACTTTCATAACATGTAATAACCTACAACATTATTACCACAACACAGCCCCTGCCACACTCTTTTATTTCCACCTATATTAAACACTCGGCCCGGTGCCCTCCCTCCCTCTCCCCCTCTCAGCGCCGTGAACGAAACACAAAAGTACTGAGTGTTTCACCTCGTAACACACAGACCCACACCGTAAAGAACCAACACTTTTTTTTTTTCATTTCACTTCAATTCAGTTTCTTTTTTTTTCATCTTTTCTGATTCAATTTGCATCTTTTTCGCTGTTCCTCTCTGACGCGTTGACAAAATGTTTTCACGGCAATCTAGCGAGGTCCGAGGGTTGTGTGGAGGCTCGCTTTACGCCCATACCGGTACAGAACTGGTATGTCCCTTATTCTATACCGGTACATAACTGGTATATTTTGTGTCAAGTTATGTGATGATGGAGTGCTGTTGTGTCCACTTTTTATCACTTCATATTATTTTACTTTCTTGACTCGTCTTGCTTTCGTCTTCCGCCCATCCCTACCCTTTGTTTCACCTCTGTACACATATCATTCTTCCTTTCCCGTCTTTCCCACATTTGCTCACTTTCTCTACTCCTCTCTTCCTACCTCTTGCTCTTGTATTCACCATGTGCTCCTTCCTTTTCTCTATTCTTTCCTTCTTCCAGTTTGAATTTCTTTTCTCCATTCCTCTTCCTCCCTTCAACCTTACTCTCGCCATTCTT